GACAAGCTCACGGCCGACGTCGCGGGCCGCGTGCCCGCCGGCGTGGCCGTCGCGGCCTTCCCCCTCATGAACCCGGACGGCTTCGAGCACTCGCGGACCGTCGACGCCATGTACCGGACGAACCGGAACGTGGCCTACGCCGAGGCCCGCGGGTGCCGGACGCGCTACGGCGTGGACCTGAACCGCAACTTCGACGGCTTCGGCTCCTGGGGCCAGACGGGCGTGTCCCGGGACGCGTGCAGCAGCCAGCAGGCCTTCCCCGGCGGCGGCGCGTTCTCGGAGCGCGAGTCCGCGGGGCTCCGGGACTGGCTCGTGGGCCGGAAAAACGACGGCGTCGCGCTCGTCGCGGGCGTCGACCAGCACACCTACGGCGGCGACGTCTTCCACGGGCCCGGCTTCTGCGACCCCGGGCGCACCTGCCCCGCCGGGCTGCCGGACTACGGCCCCGCGGAGGCCCTCGCGCGCGCGATGGCGGCCGCGACGTCCGGCGCGGGAACGGGGCGCGACGCGCCCGAGGCTCCTCTCTCGGCCGCGTTCCGCTCGTTTCGGCTGATGTTTGGACGAGCGATCATGTCTCGGAGCGCTCCCGACGCGTGGATGCGTCTGCCGGAACGCGCGCGCGCGGCACACCCGCGCGGAAGCGACGTCGAATCACCCCCGTTCCCGCCCAGGCGATGTCGGGCTTCGGCACGAGCTACCGCGCGCGCCGGCCGTCGGCGGCGTCGGGCTGCCTCGACGATTACTACACGGACACGCTGGGCCTGGGCTTCACGACGGAGATGACGAGCGGCCTGGGCTTCTCCATGCCCGAGTCGCACGTGCCCGTCGTCGGCGAGGAGCCGCGTGGAAATCAACCACTGGTTTGGGACGTCCCGACCAAACTTTGAAATTCTCTAGCTCGGTCAAATCGAAGTCGATCCGGCCGAATTTTGGACGGATCGATCGCTCTCGTCGAGTTCTCGATGCAGGGTCGAAGAACTTGCGTCGAAACTTTCAAATACGCTCACCTTGAAGTCGAGTTGAAGATTTGATTTCCACACAGGCGAGGAGACGCTCGCGTGGGCGACGGTCGTCCTCGCCTACGCGGCGACCCTCGACGCGACGGCGCCGCCGTCGTCCCCGCGGACGTCTCGGCCGTCGCCGCGGCCGTCGACGCGCGCGGGCGGCGGCGGCGACAACGCCGGCGAGACCTGCGAGAACGACGCGTCCTGGGTGAGCAAAGTGGGCACGACGTGCGCCAACATCCAAGCCGACGCGGACAAAAAGCAGGAGCTCTGCCAGCAGATGAACGTCGACGATGAGCGCGGCGGGCAGAAGTGCCCCAAGGCCTGCGGCCACTGCTCCGGCGGCGGCGGCGACAACGCCGGCGAGACCTGCGAGAACGACGCGTCCTGGGTGAGCAAAGTGGGCACGACGTGCGCCAACATCCAAGCCGACGCGGACAAAAAGCAGGAGCTCTGCCAGCAGATGAACGTCGACGACGAGCGCGGCGGGCAGAAGTGCCCCAAGGCCTGCGACCACTGCTCCAGCGGCGGTGGCGGCGGCGGCGGCGGCGGCGGCGGTGGCGGCGGCGACGGCGCGGGCGGCGGCTCGCCGACGCCGGCTCCGACGGCGGGCGGCGGCGACGGCGCGGGCAGCGGCTCGCCGACGCCGGCTCCGATGGTTCAGGAGTGCGAGCGCGACGCGAGCTTCAAAAGTGGCCAGGGCACGACGTGCGCGGACATCGCGTGCGAGACCGACCCGTCGGAGCAGCGCGAGCTCTGCCGCCAGAGCAAGTCCGGCGTCGACGGCTTCGACAAGTGCCGGTCCTGCGGGCGGTGCACCCCCGTCGGCGACGGGGAGCCCGCGTGCGACTCCGGCGAATCCACCGAGGACGGCGAGACGTGCGCCGACAAGCCGACAAAGACCGAGTGCAAGTCGGACGCGGGCTGCAAGTGGAAGAAGGGCAAGTGCGAGGACGAGTCCGCCGGCGGCGACGACGGCGAAACCACCACCACCTCCTCCGGCGGCGACGATGGCGAATCCACCGAGTGCGAGACGCTCGACAAGGCGGCCTGCAAGTCGAAGGAGAACAAGAAGCGCTGCAAGTACGACGAGAAGAAGGGCAAGTGCAAGGACGAGTCCTCCGGCGGCGACGACGGCGAACCCACCACCAAGTGCAAGAAGCTCGACGAGGCGGCCTGCACATCGAAGGCGAACAAGAAGCGCTGCAAGTACGACGAGAAGAAGGGCAAGTGCGAGGACAAGAAGGACAAGCCCTCCGGCGGCGGGAGCTGCAAGGACAACACGAGCGAGGACTCGTGCAAGTCGGACGCGCTCGGCTGCAAGTGGAAGAAGGACAAGTGCAAGGACGACGCCGGCGACGTCGGCGACCAGGGCGGCGACGTCGGTTGCATTGGCTGCGCAGATGGCGAGACGTGCGCCGACAAGCCGACGAAGACGGAGTGCAAGTCGGACGCGGGTTGCAAGTGGAAGAAGGACACGTGCGAGGACAAGGCCACCGGCGGCGACGCCGGCGAATCCACCACCAAGTGCAAGAAGCTCGACAAGACGGCCTGCAAATCGAAGGAGAACAAGAAGCGCTGCAAGTACGACGAGAAGAAGGGCAAGTGCTCGGACAAGAAGGACAAGAAGTAGAGCGAGAGCCCCACGAGTCCCCCGCGGCCCCGCCTCGAGCCCCACGAGTCCCCCGCGGCCCCGCCTCGACCCCACGCAAGAGAGGTGCGCGCGAGCCCCGGTAAGCCTACGAGCGCTTACGTCGGGGAATCTTCGGGGGTCGGCGGTCGGCCCTTGGCCTTGGCCGCCTTCTTCTCCGCGGCGGCGTCGGCCTTGGCCTTCTTTTTGTCGGCCGCGGCCTGCGCCTTGGCGGCCTTTTCGGCTTCCTTGGCGGCCTTCTTCTCGGCCGCGGCCTGGGCCTTGGCCTCCTTCTTGGCGGCCGCGTCCGCGCCGCCCTTCTTCTCGGCCTTGGCCTTGGCCTTCTCCTCCTTGACGCGCGCCTTCTCCGCCTTCTTCGCCTCGGCGGCCTGGAGCTTCGCCGCCTTCTTCTCCTCGGCGGCCTGCTTCTTGAGCTCCTTCTTCGAGAGCGGCGGCGCGTCGCCTTCGCCCTCCGGCGCGGCCGCGGCCGCGCCCTTGCCTTTTTTCGCCGCCTTGGCGTCGGCCTTGGCCTGCTTGGCGTCGGCCTTGGCCTGAGCCTTCTCCTCCTTCGCCCGCGCCTTCTCGGCCTTCTTCTCCTCCGCCTTCTGCTTTTTGAGCTCCTTCTTCGAGAGCGGCGGCGCGTCGCCCTCGCCCTCCGGCGCGGCCGCGGCCGCGGCCCCGCCCTTCTTGGCCGCCTTGGCGTCGGCCTTGGCCTGCTTGGCGTCGGCCTTGGCCTTGGCCTTGGACGCCTTCGCCCGCGCCTTCTCGGCCTTCTTGTCCTCGGCGGCCTTCTTCTTCGCCTCCTTCTTCGAGAGCGGCGGCGCGTCCGCGGCCGGCGGCGGCGCGGCCGGCGGCGCGGCCGGCGTCGCGGCCGGCGTCGCGGCCGGCGTCGCGGCCGGCGGCTTCGCGGGCTCGACGACGACGACCTTGGGCCCCGTCGGCGGCGCCGGCGGCGCGGGCGGCGCGGGCGGCTTCTTGGGCTTCTTCTTGCGGCCGAAGAAGCCGCGCGTCGACGCGCCGAGGAACTTCTGGAACATGGACTTGCGCGGCGCGCGCGGGTGGAAGCCCTTGCGGTGCTTCTTCGCCTCGAGCGCGACGAGGAGCTGCTCCCGCGACGGGTGGAGGTCCGCGATCTTCTTGGCGCGCGCGCGGCTCAGCGCGACGTCGTCGAGCGCGTCGGCCGTGTCGTGGGACACGTAGACCTTGGCGTCGCTCGCGAAGAGGCGCGCGTCGAGGTTCGCGCGGTACTTGTCGTTCTCGCTCCACCACGAGCCCTCGCGGTAGAGCGACACGCCCGCCGCGAGCGCGATGCGCTTCGCCGCCGCGCCACCTTTGGTCGCCGCGCGGAGCTTCCTCTTGAGCTCGCGCTCGCGCGCGGCCTTGTCCGCCTCGCCGTGCTGGTCCGCCTCGAGGCCGTCCATGGCGCTCTTGGTCTGCCGCGCGAGCGCGTGGAGGTCGTCCTCGCTCAGGTCGACCTGTGCCGAATTCGACCGCTGGTTTGCGTGGTCCCGACCAAACTTCAAACCTCTCGAGCTCGGTCACATCGAAGTCGATTCGGCCGACTTTTGGACGGATCGGTTGCTCTCGTCGAGTTCTCGAAGCGCAGCCGAAGAGGGTGCGTCGAAACCGCCGCGTACGATCACATTGAAGTCGGGTTGAAGATTTGAATTCGGCGCAGAGGTCGACGTCGCCGTCCTGGTCCGCGAGGAACGCGTCGTGCGCGTGGCGCGCCTCCTCCGCGAGGCGCTCGGCCTCGGCGAGCTCGAAGGCCGCGTTCTGGTTCGACTCGATGATGTCCTTGTAGATCTCCAGGGGGCTCTTGCCTACAGCGGGGCTTCGCGCGGCCGCGCGGCGCGTCGCTCGCGGGGACGCGGGCGCGGCGCCCGTGGCCTTCTGGATCTTCTCGCGGTTCTTCTCGCAGCGGCGCCAGAAGCGGTTGCCCATGCACTTGATGCGCAGGATGCGCCGCAGCCGGAAGGCCGGGAACATCAGCGACGACAGCTTGCAGTGGACGCGGTAGAACTCCTCGAACTCGACGTCGCCGTCGCCTGCGTGATTCGACGTCGCTTCAACGTGAGCGTGCCGCGCGCGCGCGTTCCGGAAAGAAAGCATCCACGCGTCGAGCGCGCCCCGAGGGATGATCGCTCGTCCAAACATCGGCCGAAAACGAAACCGGCCGGGATCGGAGCCTTTGGGAACGTCGCGCGCTTTTCCCGCGCCGGCCGTCGCCGTTGGCGTCGAGCACGTTCATGAGCTTCTGCACCTTGGCCTGGACCTCCTCCTCCGTCGTCGCCATGAGGCGCACCATCTCGAAGACCTCGTCCTTGGAGAGGTAGCCGCTCTTGTCCTCGTCGATGAGGTCGAACGTGAAGCGGACGATGCGCTCGTTCGTCAGCGTGAGGAAGTTGAAGAGCGCGACGAAGAACTCGGCGTAGTGGAGCTCGATGTTCTTCACGTAGGTGCCGCCGCGCTTCTTGACGCGCCGCGCCTTCTGCCGCTCCTTCTTCGCGAGCGCGCGCGCCTTCGCCGCGTCGATCTCGCCGTGCTGGCCCATCTCCTCGGTCTTGATCTCCATCATGGCGAAGGCCTTGCGCGTGTAGCCGCTGATGTCCGTGCGCAGGTAGTCGAAGAACTCCTCGATGTCGATGGTGCCGCTGTGGTTCGAGTCGATCTTCTCGAAGAGCCGGAGGAACCGCGCGGCGTCGCGCTTCGTCATCTTCAGCGCCGACATGACCATCATGAGCGGCGTCTTGCCCGTCGCCGGCTGGCGCGCCATGGCCCGCTCGTGGAGGTAGGGGAAGACGACCGCGTACGCGTACTTGGCGCCCCGGCCGAGCCGCTCCCGGAGCGTCGGCCCGCCCGCCTGCTTGGCCTTCTTGGGCTTCTTCGCATTCTGGGCCTCGAGCTCCGCGTCCACGGTCTTCTGCTCGTTGAAGATGTCCGCGCCGAGCATGCCCAGCGACGCGCGGTGCGCCACGTTGCGATTCAGGGTCGCCCGCGCCGCGTCGGCCTTCTGCTGCGCGACCTCGTGGGGCAGGAGCTCGCGCGGCGGCGGCTCCTCGGCGGCCTCCTCGGCCGACAAAGACGCCTCCTCGGCGGGCGGCGCCGCCGCCTCGGCGGAGTCCTCCATGCCTCAGCGCGGCCTCGGTCGGGCTGCCATGCCAACGCGCGCGAGGGCACGTTGAAGCCCCAGTTCCCGGCAACGACGACACAGGTTAACGGCGGACGAGGAAGTGGACGAGGCGCGGGGCGCTAGGACGAGACGCGGTGGAGCTCGACGGCGACGGCGGCGGCGACGTAGGCCGCGTAGAGGCCGAAGAGCGTGAACGCGTGGTGCCTCGGCAGCGCGCCGTCGTTCGCGCGCGCGACGAGCGCGGTCGCGAGGATGGACGCGGCGACGACGGCGAAGGAGAGGACCGCCTGGGGGTCGAGGGCGATGCGCAGGGGCCCGTGGAAGTAGCAGTAGTAGGCCACGGGCACGCCGAGCGCGTTGATCTGCGAGAAGAGCGGGCTGTTGAACACGGAGGCCACGGCCATGCGCGCGTGGCCCGCGCGCGCGACGGCGCCGTCGGCGACGAGGTCGCCGATGCAGTTGCCCCAGGCCAGCGCCGTGACGCCGAGCACCGCCGACGACAGCCCCGCGGCCGCGCCCAGCGACTCGAGCACCGCGACGGTCTCGGACGCGAGCAAATCGAGCCACGCGACGGTCGCCAAAAACCCGAGCGCGACGAGCGCCGTCTGCGCGTGGCGGTGGGGCGCCGCGCCGCCCGTGCACGCGTAGGCCAGCGCCGCGAGGCCGCCGCCGGCGCCCGCCGCGAAGACTAAAGGCGGCGGGCCGTCGGGCCCGGCCGCGACGAGCGCGCGCGCGTCGCCGCCGAGCCCGAAGTCGAGGACGACGACGACGACGGCGCCGGCCACGGCGCAGGCCGCGAGCCGCCGACGGCCCTCGGACCAGTCGTCGAAGGTCGCCGGCGGGATCGACGCGTGGCGCGCCGCGGAGAAGGGCCACTCGGCGACGTGGACGACGCGGTCCCACGCGGACGGCGACTCGCCCCAGTGCACGCCCCGCAGCCGCAGCCCCCCCGGCGCGTCGCCCGCCGCGAGCAGCGGCGCCGCCGCGACGCGGTCGCGCTCGTCGTCGGAGCCCGCGTCCTTGTCGCCGCGCTGCGCGTAGACGATCGCTAAAACGTAGCACGCGTACAACCCCAGCAGCGCGGCCGACTCCGTGACGTCGATGGACCGGTCCAGGGCGCAGCAGGAGATGGCGAAGATGGACAGGCCGAGCACGGACACGTCCCGCGCGAACGGCCGCGCGTCGACCTGGCACGGCGCCTCGTCGCCGTCGCCGCCCGCCTGTAGCTCGAGCCGCCGCGCGCGCGCGCGGCCGTGCGCGGCGAGAATCACGACGCCCAGCACGACCGTCGTGATGAAGATCGACGCGCCCAGCAGCTCCGCCAGCACCAGCGGGAAATCCGCCGCGTTCTGGATCGCGTTCCACGCCGTGAAGACGTCCGGCGCGCCGTTGCCGAGCGCCATCAACGTCGCGCCCGCGACGTCGTCGCTCAGGCGCAGCCGCTTCGCCATGAAGTCCAGCTGCTCGATGAAGAAGACGTCCGCCGTCGTGCCGAGGAGGGAGAGGAGGAGCACGAGCCAGAGCGAGAGCGCCGCCTGGGCAGGAAAAGGGTGCGAAATTCCCAACTTCAAAGGCTCCTATCTCGGTCGTTTTCCGCTCGTTTCGGCTGATTTTTGAACGAGCGATCATCTCTCGGAGCGCTCTCGAAGCGTGGGTGCTGTTTCCGAAACGCGCGCGCGCGGAACACTCACGTTGAAGCGACGTTGAATCACCCTTTTCCTGCCCTGAGCGCCGCGAGCCGCAGGCCCTCGCGGCCGCCGCCGCCGCAGTAGACGAACGCGAGGTAGTCGACGCCGCGCGCGAGGCCGCCGCAGGCGCCGCGCACGAAGCCGCAGCGGTCCGCCCGGTCCTCGACGCGCTCGCAGGCGTCGCCGTCGTTGCTCCGCGCCCAGGCCGCCGCGTCGCCCCAGACGCTCGGCACCATGACCGCGGCGACGGCGAAGACGCTCAGCGCGAGGCCCAGGCCCGCGGACCGCAGCAGCACCGTCTGGCCGTCGCCCCAGGGCGGCCGCCGCTGGCGCGAGTGCCGCGGCGACGACATCGCGCGTTGCGCGGGCGCGGCGGCTGCGGGCACAGCTCCTCGGCTCGAGGCCGCAGCAACTAGCCTGCAACCGGAGTTCAACCTAGCTCGATGCACAGCCTTACGCGCTGACGGGGAGTTCTCGCGCGACCCCCGGCGGGGGATGTGTGAGCGGGGGTCGTCGCTTTTTGTGTCCGGTTGCACGGCGCAGAAGCTCCGTGCGAGCCGCCGCTCGCGAACCGGGGAACGCGGCGCAGCGCGAGATCGCGAGGTCGCGTGGTCGCCGCGAGGGCGCCCAGTAAACTGCGATAAGGCGGTGGCTGCGGCTCAGCGCACTGAACTCCTCGGCCCACAACGTCGAGGCGTGCGCGGCACCGAGCCGGCCGGCGTGTCGACCACAGTTCGAGGAAGTGAGAGTCACATTTGAACTGATTCTCGCGCTCCAAGCGCGCCGTCCGAGGCACGCTCCGTGTGTCGTCCGAAGAAACCGCCCACGCGCCGCCCAAGCACGACTCCCCGAGCCCTTGCGACGCCCGTCTGCGCCTTGGAGGCCCGCCGACGAGCGCGACGCGCCTGGGCAAGCACAGGCTTGCGATTCGTTCAAACTACTCGCCGGATTCGCCGAAGCCTCGCCGGATTCAAAGATCCAAACACGCCCATGGACCGCGTCGCCTTCGTGAGCCCCGACAAGTCGCCGAGATCGCCGAGGTCCCGCGGCGGCTCCCTCGGGAGCCCCACGTCGCCCATCGCGCGCGTCCTCTCGGCCGTCGGCGATTTCGTATTCCAACGGCTCGACAACGACCACTCCGTCGTCCACGCCGTCGTCGAGCACGCGGCGCCCCACCCCGACGACATCAACGGGCGGCTGCTCCAGGCGTCCTCGAGCTGGTCCCGGGCGGGCGTCGTCGACGACGCGCGCGCCGTCTCCGACTTCCTCCGCGACGACGTCCTCATCCCGCGGATAGACCGGCGCGTGGACCTGGAAAACAACATCACGCGGGTCGTGCCCCTGTCCGCGTGCCGGCGCGCGACATTCACGCCGCTCGACGGCGGCCCGCCGCGGGGCTGCGTCGCGTACCGGTGCCCGTGCCTCTCGCGAAACCGCCCGGGCTCCGCGTTCGCGCCCGCGGCGGCGCGCGACTCGCCGTCGGACGTGTCGCGGGTCCTCGACGGCATGGTCCACGACTTCGCCCGGGCGCGGTCGCCGGCGGAGCGCAAGGAGGACCGCGCGGACCGCCTCGTCAAAGGCGTGCCCGAGTACGCGGTCGACGTCGCGTCCTGGCGCGGCTACCTCGGGTTGTACTGCCACGCGTGCGGGCGGGGCACGCTGGCCTACCCCGAGGACGGCGTCGGCAAGCACGACCTGCCCGACGACCCGCGCGGCGAGGCCCACGTCCCCGCGATCCGCGCGCGCATCCTCGCGCAGGTCGACCGCGACCCCTGACGCTTCCAGGGGCCGCCGAGAATCCAACCACCGAGAACCAGGGGGGCACAAGTACGTGAGACCCGCCCTAAGACTCGTATGCAGCAGGAAACCCCCACGATAAAACTCGCCTTAGTCCTGGTGCGCGCGCGGCGGCGGGTCCGCCGCGGCGCCGTCCGCGGCGCCGTCGTCCGCGGCCGCGCCGTCCGCGTCGGCGCCGGCGAGGTCCGGCGGCGGGACGAAGGCCGCCGGTCGCCGCGGGCGCGGCTGGCCCGACAGCGCGCGGCGCGCGCGTTCGGGCACGACGATGACGCGCCGGAGCCGGAAGCCGCGGATCTCCGCGAGCTTCGGGTAGACGTACTCGAGGTAGTAGTAGGCGTGGCCGACGGCGATGCCGACGAGGTCCGTCGTCGCCGGGTTGCCCAGGAGCACGGAGAAGGCCAGGAGCACCCAGGGCAGGTACGGCGCGGTAAACGGGAAGAGCCCCAGGAACGACATGCGGACCGCGTCGTTGCGCCGGCCCCAGACGTAGACCATCATGAAGGCGAGGGACGACCCGAGGAAGTGGACGCTCAGCAGGGGCGCGAAGAGCAGCATGACGCCCGCGCCGAAGCCGAGCATGACGACGAAGTCGAGCGTGCGCCCGCGGAACTCGCCCTCCTCGAGCAGCCGGCAGTAGCGCACGAGGAAGTAGAGGTGGAAGAGGAAGTCGAGGCTGAACATGCCGAAGAAGAAGAAGTTCGTCGCCAGGCGCCAGAGCTGGCCCTTGTGGAAGATGAGGCTGAAGTTGTAGTAGAGCGCGAACGGGCTCACGAGGTCGAGCGCGCACGCCGCGGTGGTCACGAAGCTCGCCGTCAGGTAGACGCGCGACACGACGGGGATCTCCGTGTACCAGCTCCAGGGGTCCACGGCCGCCATGGTGCGTTCGCGGGCGCGCGCGCGCGGCGTCGAGGGCGGCGGTGGGCTCGGCGAGCGCTGATGGTGCGCGCGCGCGGCCGGCGCGGCGCGAGACTCGGCGGCGGCGCGCCGCTACGTGCTGCGTTGCTACCGGCGTGCAGGCAGGCGCGTCTGGAGGGCGTTGCGAGCGTCGGGTCGGCGCGCACGACGGCTGGTGGTGCCTCCAGGTGTCGATGAGACGGCGTCTCCACAAGCCGAAGCGCCTGTCGCCAAGTCCGCTGCGCCGTCGTCTGTCGTCGTTCGCGCCGCGTTCGTCGACGATGAAGCTGTTCGTGAGTTACAAGGAGGGCGAGGACGAGGCGCACCACATGGCCACGAAATTCACGGTGCCCAAGGGCTGGCGCCCGGGCCCCGTGGCCAAACTCCTCGGCTTCTCCGTCGACACCTACAACGCCAAGCACAAGGACCACCTGCTGAACGTCGACGAGGTCCACTTCGCCAAGAAGGACGACGACGGCAACTTCGAAGCCATCGGCCTCGAGGACGTCGTCGAGCAGGTCCTCAAGACGAAGGACGAGGTCTTCATCGTCCCCGGGACGTCGAACGCGCTCGGCGACGTCGCGCAGGCCGCGGCGGACGCGGAGCGCAAGGCCGCCGAGGAGGCCGAGGCGAAGCGCGTCTTCGCCATCGGCAAGGTGCGCTGCAAGAACTTCGGGTGCAACCAGCTCTTCGACCCGGACGACAACCCGGAGGGCGGCTGCCACCACCACGTGTCGCCGCCGTTCTTCCACGACTGCAACAAGGGCTGGACCTGCTGCCCGAAGAAGTCGGCCATGGACTGGGAGGACTTCCAGAAGCTCCCGACCTGCGCCGTCGGCCGCCACTCCGCGGAGCCGCCGAAGGCGCCGCCGAAGAAGGAGCCCGCGGACGACAAATTCGTTGCGACGAAGTGCGCGCCCTGCGCGCCCGTCAAGTCCATCGACGGCTACAACAAGTCCGACGAGGGCAAGTCCGCGGCCACGGGCGCCCAGTCCTTCGCCAAGTCCACGGGGACCAAGGCCAAGCCCAAGGTCGTGAAATACGACGACGGCTCCTTCCGGTGCCAGCACAAGGGCTGCCAGGCCAAGTTCCACCCCGACGACAACGGGCCCCGCGCCTGTTCCTACCACTACGGCACGCCCGTCTTCCACGAGACCATGAAGTGGTGGGGCTGCTGCCCGCACAAGAAGAAGATGGACTTCGACGCGTTCATGGCCGTCAAGGGCTGCTGCGTCGGCTACCACTGGAACGGCGAGGGCGACGACCCGGAGCCGACGGAGCGCGCGGGCGCGCCGCCGCCCATCGCCGACGACGACGCGGAGGTCGTCGAGGCGGGCGACGAGGGCTTCGACCTCGGCTAGCGCGGGCGCCGCGCCGGGGGCGGGTCCCGCGCCGAGGGGCCCCGCGCCGGGTTTTATATAGAGCATCTGGAATACTCGTGCCTCTTTTGAGGCGCGCCTTCACGGCGCGTCGCCGCGGAGGCGCGGACGGGGCTGTGCGCGCAGCCGTCCGTCCGAAGGCCGTCCGAGAGGCCTTCCGGCCGCCCGGCGAGGCTCGTCCGGCGGGCGAGACACGAGCGCAAATCATCCTCAACCAACGGACCGACGGACACCGGAGTTCGCCATGTGCAAACTCGACGCGTCCGCCCCCGACGAGGGCGGCGAAGAGGTCGACGACGGCTTCTTCGCCGTCTGCGCTCGGACCGCCAAGTCCCTCGTCGAGAAGCAGTACTACCGGACGGCCGTCAACGTCCAGCACAAGACGCTCGAGGACTTTGGACGCATGGAGTCGGGCGCCCGCGTCCCGTCGCGCGCGAGGGGCGGGGTTTTTGACGCGGGGGGCGGGCGCGTTCGAACACACGGCGGGAAACATAAAACTCAGAGACCGCGCGACCGTTCGCGACGATTCGGCGGATTCTCCCCAGGCCGGACCTGCGGCGCGTCGTCGTCATCGGGTCCACGGGCGCGGGCAAGTCGACGCTCCTGAACAAGCTCTGCGGCTACAAGTGCGCGCCCGACGCCAACGAGCAGTTCGCCTGGGACCGCGAGCCGCTCTTCGCGTCGTCCGACAGCGTCGAGTCGGTCACGAAGTGCGCGTCCTGGGCGAAGGCTCACTGGTTCGGCGACGAGGAGCGGCCCTTCGTCGTCGTCGACACGCCGGGCCACGACGACCCCGAGGCCGCCGAGGTCGACAAGGCCGAGGCGCGCGAGGTGCTCTCGGCGCTCGCGACGGACCTGCACGAGAAGCTCAAGGCGATGCGCGAGGCGCACGTGCTCCTCGTGCTCCACAGCGACCCCTACGCGAACCGCTTGAACCCGGCGACCTACACGATCCTCAAGATGCTCGACGAGAAGTTCAGGGACGCGTCGAGCTCCGTGTGGAAGCACGTCGTCTTCGCCTACAGCCGCTGCGACGAGGAGTCGCGCGGCTGGAAGACGAACATGGAGCCCTACTGCGGCGAGGGCAAGAAGGGCAAGCGGTCCGAGATGGCGGCGACGATCCGAGCCAAGTTCGGCCTGCCCGCGAACGTCAAGGACGTGCCCGTGCTCTGCCTCAGCGGCGTCGAGACGGGCCCGCGCGACTCGCCCGACTTCGCGGCGCTCTGGGAGGCCATCGAGGACGCGGCGCCGCTCGACACGACGAAGATCAAGCCCTTCGAGCACGTCGCGGACAAGATCAAGTCCCTCGTCGACGAGCGGAACGCGGCGGTGCTCCTCGCGGAGGCGCACCGGACCAAGTTCGCGGTGCTCCTGTCCTTCGCGGCGCTCGCCGCGGCGCTCGCGTGGCGCGCGCTCCTGCCGACGTTCCTGAGCCGCCTGCTCCTCAACTACAGCGGCCCCGAGGACGAGGTGCTGCTCTTCACGTGCCTGCTCTACTTCCTCGGGCCCCAGCGCGTCTCGTCCGCGTTCGGCCTCCTCTGGGCGGACCACGGCCGGGCCCGCTACCGGAAGCTCGAGGCCGCGGCCCGGTCCGCCTTCGCCGGCGCCGCGCCGAAGAAGAAGAACGAGTGAGCCCCCCGACCCCCGCGCGGCGTCCGCGCGGCTTGTACACACGCCCGTGCACAGAGCCGATCGGGGGAGCGCCGTCTTACGCGCGCCGGTCGGGGACTTCCCGCCGCGCCCTAGTCGCCGATGATGTGCTGGTAGGGGTCCGTGTAGCCGACGTGGTAGACGCAGGGGAACTCGTCCTCCTCGGGCGCGTTCGGGTCCTCGAGGGCGTCGCCGTCCTTGCCGTAGCCGAAGGCCTCGGGCCACCCCTCGGGCTCCTTGCCCGCGCGCGCCCAGGCCTGGACGACGTCGACCTCCTCGTGCTCGATGGTCACGTGGAGCTTGCCGTCCTTGAGGATGTAGAACGAGGGGATGCACGTCGTCTCGTACATGTCCTTGAGGAACTCCGTCGTCGCCGAGTCGAGCTCGGCCTTGATGAGGAGCGACGGCAGGCCCTCCTCCTGGGCGAGCTCGTCGTACCAGGGCACCGCGTACCAGAACGACCACGTCTGGCCGATCATGAGGATCACCTGCTTCTCGTGGGACTGCTTGACGGCCCAGTCGTACTGCTTGCGGCGCTTGATGTAGAGCGCGCCCTTGGTCTCGGGGAAGAGGTCGATGGCGTTCTCCGACGGCGTCGGGTCGCGCGCGGCGCGCTCCTCCTCGGTGAGCTGCGAGTCCTCGTACTCGGCGTCCATCATGGCCTCGGCGACGACCTTGGGGTACTTGCGCATGTTCCGCATGCCCATCTCCTTCTGGGCGTCGATGTCCTGCGACGGCGCCCGCGGGGGCACGTAGCCCATGGGGCCGTGGAGGTCGTCGGGGAGGTCCGGCGTCCGCGGGAAGGACACCTTGGGCGTCGCGTTGCCGATGAGCGCGTCACACATGTACTTGCGCTGGGCGCACTTCTCGTCGAAGGTCATGTTCTTGTCGCTCTCGCGGCTCATGGTGGCGACACGCGCGGGCGCAGCCCACCTCCCCGCCTTCGAGCACCTCGGTATACTTTCTTATTTTGGACAGCACTGACCACGCATCATCGGGTGCATCCTTGGTGTTGCAGTTCTCGAGGCCAGGCCAAGGGGATCTTCAAGTATCTGGGGAGGCGACTACGCTGCCTCGAGGCGGGGCGACTATTATCCGGTCTGCTCCTCGGCAGCCCATTTCAGACCTCCCTCAGACCTCCGGGTCCTGGCTCCGTTGGGCCCCGCCGTGGCGGCTTCGGTCGAATGGGTACGTAGACCGCTTCCCCAAAGCGATTTCTTCTGGGTACACGTTTTGGCTGACGGGCTGCCGCCTGTTCTAAGGTACCCTCGAAGGGCTGCCTGCTGCCTGAGTTTGGCGGGGATCGTTGATTTTTTGGGCCTTTGACCTGCCCCATGACCTGCCCGAGCCATCGAGGCGAAAATATCAACGATCCCCGACGGCTACGACCCGACGTCGCGCGTGCAGCTCCGCGAGCACCTGGTATTGCCCCGCGGAGAGGTGATCCACGACGTCCCTGAGCCCATGCGCGTGCCGAGGGAGTCCCCTACCATCCCGGGCCCGGACCGGACCCGCGGCGTCTGCGGGAACTGCCGCTACCTGCACTACTCGATGCCCGTTGCGCTCCCGCGATGGCCGGCCGGGCCCGGCCAGGGCCCGCCAAGATCCTAAGGTGCGGCGCCTATCGGGCCAGGCTTTCGTCGCGGGGTGGCCAGGCGTCGCGCGAAGCCCCGGGAAGGCCGTGGCGACGTGAATTTGTCGAACTTAAACTCGTGTCGGGAGGGGTCGCCTCAGGACGAGTCAATGGCATCGATTTGGCCCAGTAGGACGCGCCTGAGATGCTGCGCGCCGCTCCATAGTAACCCCATGGCCGACGAGCGCGCGAAGCCGTGCAGCGAGACCGTTTGTGACTCGATCTGGCCTGGTCGTAGACAGCTCCGCGGGAGCATAACGGGCATCGAGTAGTGCAGGTGGCGGCTGTTCCCGAAGGCGCTGCGGGTCCGGTCCGGGCCCGGGATGGTAGGGGACTCCCTCGGCACGCGCATGGGCTCAGGGACGTCGTGGATCACCTCTCCGCGGGGCAATACCAGGTGCTCGCGGAGCTGCACGCGCGACGTCGGGTCGTAGCCGTCGGGGATCGTTGATATTTTCGCCTCGATGGCTCGGGCAGGTCATGGGGCAGGTCAAAGGCCCAAAAAATCAACGATCCCCGCCAAACTCAGGCAGCAGGCAGCCCTTCGAGGGGTTCCTTAGAACAGGCGGCAGCCCGTGCGCGGCCAAAACGTGTTCCCAGAAGAAATCGCTTTGGGGAAGCGGTCTACGTACCCATTCGACCGAAGCGCCGCCACGGCGGGGCCCAACGGAGCCAGGACCCGGAGGTCTGAGGGAGGTCTGAAATGGGCTGCCGAGGAGCTCAGACCGGATAATAGTCGCCCCGCCTCGAGGCAGCGTAGTCGCCTCCCCAGACTTCTGGAGAAGATCCCCTTGGCCAGGCTGGCGTCGACGCGACGCCGAGGGCTCGAGGCACAGACTTGCGCGACGCCGAACGCGTCGACACGCAGAGCCTCGCACGAGCAGCGCGCGACCGAGAACCGCGACAGCGCGCGACCGAGACACCATGCGCCGCGCCGCGACGCTCGCGCTGATGTTCGCCGCCGCTGCCCGCGCGTCGCGCCGCGTCGCGCCGCGCCGCGCCGCGCCGCTCACGGACCCACCCTGTAGGCGGCCAGCCGCTCACGGAGCTGTCCGAGGAGCAGGACGCCGAGGCCATCAAGGAGATGCGGCTCCGCCAGGAGGCGGCGAACCCGGAATGCGCGGCGACGGCCACGGAGCTCGAGCTCGCGCGCATGGAGATCGCGGCCCTCGAGCACGACAACGAGCTCCTCAGCTCCGAGAACAAGATCCTCGCCGACGAGAACCACCTCGAGGACGTCGTCTCCGACATCCGCGAGTACCTCGCGCACGTCATGGACGGCGACGACGTCGTCCCGCCGTGAGCAAGGGAGAGTGTTAATAAGTGTCTGTGAATCGCCCCTAGAACACGGGGTCGTCGTCCGTGAGCGTGAAGCGGAGCGGCGGCGTCGCCGGCGTCGGCGGCTCCTCCTCGCGCGCGGCCTCGAGCGCGGCCATGCGCGCGCGCATCGCGTCCCGCGCGCGCTGCGCGGCGCCGCGGATGTCGGAGCGGAGGTCCAGGGGCGAGTAGCCCCGCGCCGGCGCGAAGCCGAAGCGGTTGTGGCACGGCGTGAGGCCCGGGCTGATGAGCGACCGGCAGAGCGGGCACGTCGTGCACTTGGCGCCGACGGCGCGCGAGATGCAGTCCAGGTGGAACCGGTGGCCGCACTTGCGGATCGTGTGCAGCGTCTTGCCCGTGGCGTCGAGGGCCTCGAGGCAGATGCTGCACGTGTCGGCCTCGACGGGCGTCGTCAGCCGCGCGCCGACGCCGCCGACGCCCATGGGCGTCGTCTGCGGCGTCGTGAGCGCGTGGGACCGCACGGGCGTCAGCGGCGCGGGCCGGAAGGACTCGTAGCTCCGCGACGCCCGCGGCGACCGCCGCGCGGGCGACGGCGGCGCGGGCGGCTCGGGCCGCGGCGACGCGAACGCGCGGCTCGACCGTGGCGACTGCCGGTAGACGGGCGGCGCGGGCCGCGGCGACCCGAAGAAGCGCCGCGGCGACGGCCGCGGCGACGCGGCCGCGGGCGTCGCGCCGGGCGTCGGGCAGTAGACCGTCGCGGGCGTCGTGTTCGCGGACGACGGGCTCGACGCGGCCGCGCCCGCCGGCGCCGGAGGCGGCACGTACTGGATCGGCGTCGCGTAGGCCTTCTCGGCGCGCGGCGACGCCTGCGGCGTCGTGTCGCTGGCGTTGCGCGGCTGCAGCGGCGCGCGCTGCTGCTGCTGCAGCGCGGCGTCGAGCGCTTGCGCGTCGTTGCGCTGGAGCGCTCGCGCGTCGCGCTGCTGGAGCGCGTGCGCGTCGCGTTGCTGGAGCATTTCCGTGCTGCTCTGCTGGAGCGCTTGCGCGTCGCGTTGCAGCGCGCGCTGTGGCGGCGCTGGCGGCTCGTCAATGGAGCGCATCGTTTTGAATGCTCCTCGAAACCAATCGTTGAATGAGACGTTGAATAGATGGTGCATGCCGGCGTCACGTCACACGACGCCTCCTCTTTTACCCTCCGTAGTCGCCGGCGTAGTCGTAGGCGTAGTAGTCGTCGTAGTCCGCGGGCCGCTTCGGCGCGATGGAAAGTTCGGTCCACTCGAAGGGGTGGCTCTTCGCGGAGAGGTTCCAGCTCATGAGCCAGCCGACGGCCCACTCGACGGCGACGATGACGACGACCGCGACGGCCGCCAGGTCCACCAAAAACGCGAGGACCCGGAGCCACGGCCGCTTCCGCCGGTCCTTGGACGCGAAGAACCAGGCGAAGTGGCAGTCGAAGACGAGGAGCGAGAAGATCGCGAGGCCGCAGCCCTTGTAGATGCGCGTGAGGCCCGGCGTGTCCGTGACCCAGTCGTCGTCGTTCGTGACGATGTCGCCGCGCGTCGTCCGCCGCTGCATGGCCCAGGTCACCGTCAGCACGAGCGCGCCGAGCGCGAGCTCTCCCAGCGTCTCGTAGGCGCGGTAGACCACCCGCAGCGCCGGGTGCTCCGCGGCCGCGCGCACGTCCGCGGCGACGCCCCGGAAGACGTCGCGGAGCGCGAGGCGCCACTCGAGGTGCCGCGTCGCGACGCGCCGGTCCAGCGCGCCGAAGAAGCCGTGCGAGGGCACGTCGTGGCGGAGCAACACCTCGATCTCGAAGATGAAGCACATGGCCAGCGAGTTCAGCAGCAGGTTGAAGGGCCCGTCGGCTGTGCCCAAGATCGCCACGGAGATGAGCGCGAAGTAGGCGACGAGGCTCAACCGCGCGACGTGGATCGTCCACGCCACAAAAAGGTGCGCCGCGCCGCTGAGCGTGACGTGCTCCAGCTCGTGCGCCGCGGCCCACCGCAGGACCACGTAGGACGCCTTCGTCGCGCGCATGGCCCCGGAGACCGTGATGCCCAGCAACAAAGAGCAGAAGAACATGGGCGGCACGAGGAACGACGGCACGCCGGCCGCGAGCACGCCGTCGTCGATGTCGTGGTGGAAGTCCACGGGGTAGGGCACGCCGGCCCGGAACGTCTCCGCGAGCCAGGCGTCGTCGTCGACGTGCGCGTCGACCATGCCGCCCCACTTGAGGTACCACAAAAACTGGCGGATCGTGTTGATGCTCGCGATCTGCACGAAGATCATCGCCAACGTCGCGACGGACAGCAACGCCGTCTCGACCGTCGGCGCGGGCTCGAGCGCGCACTTCGTCATGGCCCGCGAGTAGAAGGACTCCTCGCAGGCGCCGAGGAGCGAGTCGGAGACCGTGGCGATCATGTCCGTGCTGTATTCGGAGAGCTCGCGGCCGAGCCGCTTCGACCGCTCGGGGCCCCAGAGGCCCCGGAGCCGCGCCGTCGCGAGGTCCCGCTCGTCGTCGTCGTCGCCGCCTTTGGTCTGCTCGCCGTCGCCCGCGGGCGCGGCGGCGCCGCCGCCGGCTCGGGCGTCGGCGGCCGCGGCGCCGTCGCTCGCGGCGGCGCCGGCGCCGTCGCCGTCGCTCGCGGGCGCGCCGTCGCCCTCGGGCCCGTCGAAGGTCACCGACGATCGGCCGGACTCGCTGGCCCGGAGCTCCCGCGACCGGAAGCTCGACGACGACGAGCGCGCCGCCCGGAGCCGCGAGCGCGACAGCTCCGCCTCCGCCGCGCCGTCCGCGGCCGAGTCGAGGCCGCAGTTCGTGAAGTCAAAGTCCGCGCTCCTCCAGTCGCCGGCGTATTCTGCGAACATGCGCCGCGCGTTGCGCGCGGGCAGGATCATTGTCGAGTGTGTTCAGCTTGGGCGGGCAGCCATTTCACATCGCAAGCGTGCAACCCAAGTTCAAGCACACGACGATGCCGTCGAATTGCCTCACCTCGACCCGCCATGCCGACGTCGCGTGATCGCGACGCGCGGAAGAACACGGTCGCGTGGCGCTCGCTCCCGACGGAGCCACTCCTCGAAATTTGCTCGTTTCTAGACCCCAAGGCGCTCGGCCGGCTTGAAATCGTCGGCCGCATCGACGGCCTCTCTCGCGCCTGGGAATCGAAAGCGAACGGCGTCGCCCGCGGCGCGCTGGGGCCGATGTCGTCTAAACGCCTGGTGAGCACGCACGCGCGAATGCGCTCCCTGTATCCGATGGATTCTTCAGAAACATTCCAGGGCATTGCGCGTGATGCGCAGATAAGCTTTGACGATTTTGCGTTTTCCCTGATCGTGTCGTATCGTGAAGATGGTGATGGTGATTATCGAAGGTCGGCATTTGAGTTCATGCGACTCATCAGCGAAGACCACGAGATGGGGTTGCTTGAGCCGTGTGGACAATTCGCCATGTTCCCTCCGGCGGAGGTTCACGGCCACGACATCTCAGAATTCCTGCTCAAGGCTAATGATAATTACGTGGGCGAAGGGGATGGGTCCCTTTTATCAGACTATTTCCAGCTGTCCGCATTTCTGATCTGCACTAGGAAATCCGACGGCACCTCGATCAGAGTGGTCGACTTTTATGATATAGACGATGACAGTGCAGGACTCGCAATAGAAGAAAATGGCGCAGGCTGCATTAATTTCATAAATGGTGAGTTGTTTGGGCGACACAGATCTGACTCTTATGGTTACGACATGGATCTTCAGCTTTACTTCGATGATTCGACTGGG